AACTTCCGGGTGCGACGCAGGTTATTGGTACGGCTGCATAGAGGTTGGCTCACTACACAGTTTTTGTTCTGTCTTCATTTGTTATTTGAAGTTGTTTGAAGTCATTTTTGAAGTATTTAAGAAGATAAACTCCTCAGACTTTGAAAACAAGCATGTTGCTGAATTCGGACAAGTTCCGGGAGCCTCTGTAGACTCTCTATTGGTTGTGACCACAGTCAAGCTGGATGGAACTAATTATCTGGCTTGGTCACAATCATTAAAAATTCATATTTGTAGTAGAGGCAAATGGGGTTCTCCGAGAGCAAAAAGGCTTCTCCGGAAGATGATCCATCATATGAAAAGTGGATGCAAGAAAATTATACTGTTATTGGATGGCTTGTGAACTCAATGCAACCACAGATTAGTCAGCTCTATTTGTGGATGAATTCAGTAATGGAAATTTGGGATAGTGTTGCTGAAACATATTCCCAAAAATTAAATGTGGCCAGGGTTTACAAGTTGAGAAGTGATGTGAAGAATTTGAGACAAGGGGAGAAACCATTAGCTGTATACTTCTCAACACTGAAGTCTTTATGGAAAGAAATAGATTTGATAGAAGTTGTAGCCTGGGACACCACTAACGATGCTGGGACTTACAGAAAACTGGTTGAGAGAAACAGGGTGTTTGAGTTCTTGATAGGGTTAAATCCAGAGTATGACATTACAAAGCAAAATATTTTATCCAAGGTAGTGTCTCACTGTCTCAAGCATATGCCTTGGTAAGTAGTGAAGAAAGCAGAAGACTTGTCCAGGTCCAAGGGGTTGGTCTAAATGACCACTTTGCTAAAGGCAGGGAGTGTCAATGTTGTTGTTGGTCTAGATAGTGACAGATACCAAACTGAAGAGATGACGGCTAGTGAGCAGTTAGCAGCTATGAAGGCAGAATATGAGAAGTTTGGGAGGATGATCAGTCACCTAGAGGGTGTGACCTCTTCTTCTAACCCTCCAGGAAATTCAACCTCTTATGGATTTGCTCATTCAGGTATACGAGCTTTTGCCAATCATACAACCATTTCAGGTAATCGTAGGATCCCTTGAATTATTGATTCCAGTGCTTCTGATCATATGACCAGCCTTTCTACTTTGTTTGTTTCATATGATTTACTTCCTAGACGTGACAAAATCACCCTAGCTGATGGCTCTCTTGCCCCTATCTCCGGCAAGGGAACCATCAAGGCTACAAAGTCCTTGGTTCTTCCTCCTACTCTTCATGTACCCAGACTAAATACAAACTTGTTATCTGTAAGTAGCCTAACTAAGTCATTAAACTGTTGTGTAACCTTTTTCCCTTCTTACTGTGTTTTTCAGGATCTGAAGTCTCAGAAGGTGATTGGGAGTGGCCGTGAGGCGAATGGAATATATCTGTTGGATACTCCTGGACAGTGCCATGAACAACTTGGAAAAGCTGCTTTTGGGTCTACATCTACAAAGTCCATCAGTCGAGTCATGTTATGTCATTTTCGTTTGGGTAATCTTTCTTTTTCTGCATCAAGTCATTTATTCCCAGAACTGTTTAAGAGAATTAGTTTGTCCAGTCTTCATTGTGAGTCTTGTGAACTGTCAAAACATTGTAGAAACAGTTATCCTCTGAGTAATAAAAGATCTCCTTTTAATACTGTGCACTCTGAGCCTTACCACTTACCTTCTATGGGTGGCTACAAATATTTTATCTTGTTCATTGATGAATTTTCTCGATTCACTTGGATATTTTTTATGAAGTCTCGTGATGAAGTTCCCAGATTTGTGAGGCAATTCCATGAATTTTTCCTAACCCAGTTTGATACCAGAATTAAAATTTTCAGATCCGACAATGCAAAAGAATATTCTGAGAAAAACCTGACCTGCTATCTCACTGATTTAGGGGTTATTCATCAAAGCTCGTGTTAGGACCCCAGAACAGAATGGAGTTGCTGAAAGAAAAAATAGACATATTGTTGAAGTTGCAAGAAGTATTCTATTTGCCTCACATGTCCTTACAAAATTTTGGGGTGATGTTGTTCTCACCGCTACCTATCTTATAAACCGTATGCCATCCAAGGTTTTAGGGTTTAAGTCTCCCTTCAGTCTTCTTCATCCGGACAAGGCTCTTTTTCTTATTCCTCTTCGTGTCTTTGGTTGCACTTGTTATGTACATATCCCAAGTGTCCAGAGACATAAATTTGAACAAAAAACCCACAAGTGTATCTTCCTTGGTTATTCCCCCACATAGAAGGGTTGCTGTTGTTTTGATCCAAAGACTGGCACTCGGTATGTCTCATTGGATGTCACCTTTGATGAGCTTTCTTCCTTTTATGGTTCTTCTCTGAGAGACATTGTCCAAGGGGGAGGATTTGTCATAGGTGTTTGCTCTTCCTCTTCCTGTCCCARTTGAGTCTTTTGTTGAGTCTCTTCCTCCTTCAAATGAGTCAAGGGAGGATCAGTCACTTCACTCTCATTCCAGTGTTCCTATTCCTCCTCCTTTACCTCCTCGCCCTCTTTTTAATCCCAGGTTGTACCAACGGCAGAGAACCAGAAATGAGTAGATTGTTTCCCCTCCAACACATGAGCCTCATGCACTTCCAGTTACAAATGAGACAACAGGTACTGTTATAGCCCCTTTGGAGCCATCCTTCCCAGACCTTGATATCCCCATTGCTATTAGGAAAGGAAAAAGTGTACTACACATTGCATTTCCAAACACCTTTCTTATAGTTTGCTCTCTCCTTCATATTCTGCCTACCTTTCTTCTATTGCTTCTAACCCAATTCCCAGGTCTGTGTCAGAAGCTCTTACTATTCCAGAATGGAGGGATGCTATGAAAACAAAAATTAATGCCCTGCACAAGAATGACACTTGGGAAGTGGTTGATTTGCCTAAAGGGAAGAATCCAGTAGGTTGTAAGTGGATTTTTTACTATCAAATATCATGTTGATGGCACCATTGAAAGGTACAAGGCTAGGCTGGTTGCAAAAGGCTATACACAGACATATGGGATTGATTATCTGAAAACCTTTGCCCCTGTTGCCAAAATGACGTCTGTGAGAGTTCTACTATCTTTGGCTATACACTCAGACTGACCACTTTATCAACTGGATGTAAAGAATGCATTTTTGAATGGAGAGTTACATGAGGAGATTTATATGTCTCTTCCTCCAGGGATGTATGAAACAAATAAGAAAGGAAAGGTCTGCAGGCTAAAGAAATCTCTCCATGGACTCAAACAGTCCCCTAGAGCATGGTTTGAAAGGTTTAGGGCTGCCCTTGTTAGCCTTGGCTATGTACAGACACGGTCTTATCATATCCTCTTTGTGAAGAGGAGAGGATCCTTGGCCGTTTACCTAATTGTGTATGTTGATGATATTGTTGTGACTGGTAATGATGTCTCAGGAATAAATAATCTCAAATCTTTCCTTCATACAGAGTTTGAGATCAAAGATCTGGGGGAATTGAGATACTTTCTTGGTGTAGAAGTTGCTAGATCCAAGGATGGGATCCTTATCTCTCAGAGAAAGTATGTTCTTGATTTGCTCTCTGAAACATGGAAGATAGGTGCTAGACCAGTTGCTACTTCTATTAATATGAGCCATAAACTCTCTGCTTCAGATGGAATATTGTTAGAAGATAAGTGAGTCTTCCAGAGACTACTTGGAAAACTTCTTTATCTATGCATTACTCATCCAGACATTGCATATGCTGTCAGTTGTATCAGTCAGTTCATGCATGCTCCCAGGGATACTCACATGGCAACAGCAGAGCAGATTCTGTGTTATTTGAAGGGCTCCCTTGGGAAGGGAATTCTATTTGCTAAGCATGGCCATATGAAACTTGAAGCCTACACAGATGTTGATTGGGCCGGAAACATTGATGACAGAAGATCTACCTCTAGGTACTGTAGCTTGGTGGCAGGTAATATTGTCTCTTGGAGAAGCAAGAAACACTCAGTTGTTGCTCGATCTTCAACCGAAGAAGAATACAAAGCCATGGCTCATGGAGTTTCTGAACTATTGTGGCTTAGATCCTTGATGGAGGAACTGAGTATTGAGCATTATAAGCCAATGATGTTATACTGTGATAATCAGGCCGCCATCAACATTGCTCACAACCCAGTGCAACATGATAGAACTAAGCATATTGAAGTTGATAGACACTTCATTCAAGAAAGAGTGGCTTCTAGAGAAGTGTGTCTACCTTTCATCACCTCTGAAGGACAGTTAGTTGATTTCTCACCAAGGGCATTCCCAAGGCTAAACTTTAGCATGATACTGGCAAGCTTGGCATGATTGGCATCTATGCTCAACTTGAGGGGGGAGTGTAGAGAAGATGGGCTGAATGGCCCATAGGCTGTTTATCCTTTTTTTATCTTTTATGTTATTTGTTGTAATGGGTCTTAATCTGGGCTTTATTCTTTCTTATGTTATGTCTTTTTAATTTTCTGCCCAACTAGGGGCTTGTCTGTAAATTACTAAAGTTTAACTTAATGAAATAGAATTAAGGGAGTAAGAGGAGATTATGTTCGAAAATCTCTCTCTGACCCCAAGTTGTCGCCACCTTCTTCTTCTTCTCTCCTCTTGAACTCTGATTTTTGCAACTTTCTACACGGTCATTTCTTCTCAAAAGGCTGTTTTTATTCTGTTTTGAAAAGAAAAGATATATGATTGTCCATATTCTAAAACATGATTCCATGATTTATAGCTGATTTGCCAATTATATTTCAATATACATGTGGTACATTATTTGCTACATATATCCCTATAATTTAAAATTAATAGAATTTGATTATTATTTTTATGTTGTAAGTTTTTTTTCCAGGAGAAATTCCCTGAAACATATCAAATGAATATATCAAAACATTCAATCTCTATGCTTATTTTTTCAGTTGTTTCTATCTTGTCAATTCTTATTTGTTTGTAAATAATATTATTAGTGCGGACTCCACAAGGAAGAACATAATTATCTCATTGAGAACCTAACTTTCTCTTCAGCCAAGAATTGATGACAAGCATTCAAAATGGTTGCACCTACGCATTCGTCCATCCACTTTACCCTTCATGGATTCATCTAAGTTGGCCTTTGCAAAAGTGAAGACAAAAGCTTTGGTTGATGGGAGATGGACAATTGCATTTAGAGATGATGTAACTTGCAAATATGCCCTTTCTATGATACTTGAGGAGATGGATTTACTATGTAAAGAGGTGGAGATGAGGCTAGAGCCTTTGCTTCATTTGGACAGACCTGTAAATGCATTAGACCGTTCTCATCTATCTCGATAGCCTTCATCAACAACACCAACATATTCGTTGTAGGTTTCTCACTTGTTCAGTTGTGAAATAATAATTGCTTTATCGGTAGGTTGGGGACCTACCTGTTACCCTTTGTATACTATTAGTACCATAAAGCAGCCTTAGAAATACAAAAATGTAGAATAGTGTCTCAGCCAGTGCCATGAGTCGGTGTTAATTTCCTTGTATACTAGATTTTCTTTTCTTGGCCCTAATTTTTGTAGGTTTTGCATTTCTTTTTGTTTGGTCATTCTTTAACAATCCCTGTTTGAGGGTTTTTTCTTCAATTTGTTGTGTAATTCCAAATGTATATCTTGGATGATTCATATCATAGTAAAGTTGCAAGCGTTTGGCATTTTTTTTTCTTGACAATATATGAATTGCATTCTCCAAGTGCACTTGCTAAATTTAAATTTCTGTAAATGAAGGCCTTTGTCCCTCCCATTTACTTGCAATGTTATATAACTATAATCTCCTGCCACTTGCATGTAATTATGATATGTTTTATTTCCATAAAGGATGTCTGAGGACAAGTATCTCCATCTCCTGGTTGATGGCTTTTTTTTCGTGTCCAATGAAATATAGCCAATTAATCACTTGTTCTATCCAGCATGGGGTATTTGATATTGTACTGAACTGAATTTAATCTTGGTGGGTAGTCAATTCTGGGCTTAACGCCCTGGAAGAGGATACAATCAAGATCTATATTGCACATGTCGGACATGAAGGGTGGTCGCCTGGTTGGTCCTGTCATCAAATAAGATATTTGAATTTGATAGATTACTTGCACATCTGTTGGATGCATCTTGGATAGGGAGAGATAGTGGAATGCATTGGATGGCTAGGATCCATGGCTCTGTAGATTGTCCCAGAGTAGAATTTATTGTAAAACACTTGACAGATTGCGCCCATTGTAGAAAACTTATTAGATACACTGGCTCTGGCTGGACTTCCTCCCATGATCATTTGCTTTCATGTAAAGACTTCTTTTATGCTTGTTATTGTGTTAAGCCTTTTGATCGGAGGAAAAAAGGGGAAAAAAAATACTGTTAAGCCAAATAGGAATTTGGAGACTCAAAACAAGCGGTGTTTGCAGAGAGGTGCTTGTATAGCATTGGTGTGGTTTTATTCCTTAATTCTCCGATTCTTTGGTTATAATTAGTATTATTATCATCGTAAGTTGTTATTATTTCAATATTTTTCTTATCTTAAAGGCTAGATGTAAAGAATGAGGGTTTGGGATAATTTTCTTTGGTGCTTTGCTCAATTTAGCTCCCTATTCATTTTGGGTTTCATTTTTATTCATCAAAAAATGCTGTTGCTAACGTGCTATGTCTTTATTGCCTTGGATCCACATGACCCTTTTTTAAAGTCCCTGTTCTAAAGTTAGCCTACATTCAACCACTCGCAATGTCAACCGTCCATAAAGGTAACATTCCCAGGCCATGTTTAGGAGTGCTTAAAAATAAGTGTTTATTTGGGCAAAGACCACACCATTAAGCACTTATTAGTGTTTGGGAAATAAGCCTGAAATAAGCGCTTATTTTAAAAATAAGGGCTTATTTTTTAAACCCACATCTCCAGCTTTTTTAAGTGCTTATACCATAAGCACTTATTCAATTTTTTCTCCCATAATTGTCCTTGGTGAATTTATAGAATTCCAATTATAACCCTTTTATGAAAATCACTTTTATGCAAGGTTCAAAATATCGATACGCCGGTAAGGGCGTATGGGGTGAATCGATTTTCTTTTTTTATATTTTTTTTAATTTTTTTTCTGAAACTGGTTCAGGGGGCCGGTTTAGGGCTCTTCCACCCCCTGAACCAGTCAAACCCCCGATATACCCACTATAGGGGTCCCGGAACGATATGTATCAGCCAATACGTATCGATACTTTGAACCTTGCTTTTACAAAAATAAAGTATTTTTATGAAAGCAGTTTTATAAAAGTATTTTTATGAAAGTACTTTTACGAAAGCACTTTTATACAAATACTTTTATGAAAATACTTTTACGAAAGCACTTCTATAAAAGTATTTTTATGAAAGTATTTTTATAGAAGTACTTTTATGAAAGCACTCACAAAAGCACTTTTATAAAAGCATTTTTACGAAAACACTTTTATGGAAGTGATTTTAGAAAGGCACTTTTATAAAAGTATTTTACGGAAGTGTTTTTATCAAAATACTTTTATGAAAGCACTTTTGTAAAAATACTTTTAAAAAAGCACTTCTATCAAAGTACTTTTATTCATTCACTTTGGATTGGATAGTTTGAAAATTTGAAAGAAAATGTAGGATAAAGTCACATTTGCTTATTTAAGTGCTTATTGGAGAAAAAGACTATCAAATGCCCAATCAAGGTTCAAAATATTGATACACCCCTACCGGCGTATCGAGCAAATCAATACTGTTTTCTTTTTTTTTTTTACTTTTTTTTTCTGAAACTGGTTCAGGGGGTGGTTTAGGTCTCCTCCAGCCCCTGAACCGGTCAGACCCCTGATACACCCACTATAGGGGAATATCAGAGAGGTCCCGAAACGATATGTATCGGCCGATACAGGCTGATACGTGTCAATACTTTGAATGTTGCATCCAATATAAAATAAACACTTGAAAAAGTTGGATGCCAAATGCAAATAAGTACTTATTCAAATAAGCACTTGTTTTAAGCACTTATTTGTAATATAAGCAACTCCCAAACATGGCCTCAAACAATCAAGTTCACTTTTATTTTTTTATTTTTTTGTTTACATCCCATGAGGCCATGACTGCTTTTAATTACTGATATTTATTTTATTCTAGTAGTTTTTCTAAACATCATATTCTGTTTTAGTTTCTAACTTTTATATAGTCATCCATTAAAGGATCATGTCTCTCATGTTCTTGGATTTGCACTTTGAAAATTTCCTTTTTATGCTTGGTTGGCCAATGTTTGTTTTAGTTAATGATCTTTTTGTTGTTGTTTTTGGTTTGTTGAAAAGTGTAAAACCACTCACCTCTTGGGCTTTATTGTAGTTTATTGAAGCATTAGTGGAGCTTAGTTTTTATTCATGATTACCTAAGCCTAAGGAATCAAATGATGGTGATTAGCAAGCGGACCTTAATACAGGCCCATGATCATGAAACGTTGAATATAAAATAAAAATGGGATTTTTATTTGCAAAAAAATTGGAGGCCCATTTGCATGACACTAAGGATCATATAATTGAAAACCAGGTTGACGAGTAATGAGGCACACACTCAAGATTCAAACTTTAAAGTATTGATGATGTATCGGTGCGTATTTGTACGATATGTATCGGTTTTTTATCCCACCGATACTCCTATGAAAACTTATCATCCAAAAAATAAGAAAATAATAATAATAGAGTTTCGGTTGACCAAAACGCTTGATGGAGTTTGGGGCCCACTATGATGAATCTCATATCTAAACTGGTAAGTGGTAACTAATGAGGAAATCGGGTTATATTTTTTCCCACATGGGGAAGAATATGATGACTCCCCCCTTTTCATTTGGGAGGTTTGGGGAGAGCTAGGGTTCATTGTCATAGAATTAGGACCCACTAGCAATTGGGCCCAACCATTGTGGGATTAGTTTGGTAAAGCTCACTAGAAAGAAACTTAAATTATTCTTATAGTGCACTATGGGGCGTCCTTGGGACATTCTGTGTGCCAAATGAACCCAAATCACAAATCATGGATGTGTGTGCCAAAGGAATCAAAACCACCAATCATGGCATGCATCCTCCAGCTCTCCCAGATTAGACTTTGTGCAGATCAGGTTGGTACTGATGGCTACAACACTTGCACCTGGTTAGCCTCAGAAGTACAGCATCCGATCCGATGGTTAAGAAGTCTCTAGCTCTTGCCCATTGATTTAATGGTCCTTCCCTCTTCTTATGCACTTCAACAATATCAATACGGGGTGTATCAAGCAGTATTGGTACTTTTTTTTAAAAAAATCGGTTCAGGGGAGCCGGTTTAAGGCTTCACTCTTTGAACTGGTCAGAACCCAATACACTCTAAATAGGGGCATATCGGGGTGCTCTCGATACGTGCCGATACTTTGAACCTTGATTCAAAGTAGACCGACCCTTTACAGTACACATTTTGACATCATCAATTTAAGTGATTTTTAAGCAAAAAGAGGCATGAAAATGTCTCCATCTACAGCAAGACAGGCCCCATTTCCGCCGCTCGGATACAATTATTTGATATGTTTTAATGGGTCTTTAGGGTCAAAGCTAATGAATGATACAATGTTTAAAAAAACTATTCCAAGTATGGTTGGCATGTAGTGTGTGTGTTTGTGCGTTGAGGTTCTATCATTACACGTTTTCTTGTTATGGTTTGTTTGGCTTATAAGAATGTGGTCTTTGGTTACAGTCAAAAAGGTTAGATAGTGAAGGGCATATAATAAATAGGGTTATTAGAAAAAGGAGCCTCTCACTAGGTCTTGTGTGAGTGAGTTCCACGTACGTCCCCCTCTAAGCTAAAATTGTCCACCTAATTTATTATCTCTAGTCTTCCTAACCTTTGGTTTAAACATTAACAGGTTATAATAAATATAAACTTTTATCTTAATCATTTTCATGTCTGATTAGGTGCTTATCAGCTTATGTATTATATATTGTTTAAGGACTGGCCAAAATGGGTCTTTTTTCAAGAGCATTATTTTCTCCAATTAGGGTCAGATGCTTCTAAGTTATCCATGGATCTAACAACCTTTGTTCTTGTTTGCTGTCAACAGACTCCGATATCCGATTGAAGTAATAAATTCGAGTCTGATTAATATATTATATGTAACTTTTAAGTTGAAAATTCCCGATTATTACCTTATATTTTGGCTCGAGTGATATTTGGTCTCCGAACTTTAAAATGCGACAATTCAGTATCCAAACTTTCAAAATGTGACAATCCAATACTTGTTGTTAACTAGTCCATTAATCAGACGTTAAGTGACAATTGAAAAGTCAAAAGTTCCCTATGAATGCCATATAATTCTCTTTATCAACCATCCAAACATTGACAATAAAATGAACTGTCCCAAATTCTAGATTCTTCTAAACAGTCGCCAACTTTTTTTTGAATAGAAGAGGCTAGGATTTGAGACTGTTCAGTTTTTTTGTCAACGTTTGGATGGTTGATAAAAAGAATTAGATGGCATTCGAAGGGAATTTTTGACTTTTCAAATGTCACTTAGCAGCTGATTAACAATTGGTTAACGACAGGTACTGGATTGTCACATTTTGAAGTTGAGCTACTGCATTGTCACATTTTGAAAGTTCAAATACTAGATTGTCATATTTTGAAAGTTCGAATACTGAATTGTCACATTTTAAAGTTCAGGAACCAATTTATCACTTGAGCTAAAGTACAAGATACTGATTGGGAATTTTTCCTTTTTTTTTATTTTAATGATAATACTAGAGTAGAATTGGATTAAATTCAAATCTGATCTGAATCCGACCTTATTACTTACACTATCTATTCATATATTTGATATCAGAGTAATCAAGAGAACATATAAGGCCTTCAATGCCCACTAGCATAACCTCCTACTCAAATTAGGTGTGGATTAGTTTTACCCAAGGAAAACAAAAGCCCCTTTTTTGGTACAATAAATGGAAGCTCTTATTAAATGAAATATTCTTTTTTGCCTTTTGAAACTTCTAGCTCTCATTGAACTCTTCAGGTGCCCCAAAATACTCTTTCCTCTTATTATCTTAGATAAGAAGCACTTGAATTAGAATATAGTGAAACCCAAAGTGGAAATCAAGAGCAGTTGAAAAGTTGTAATAGATTAGCATTAGCTGACTATAATATCCATGAGTACAAAGAAAAATAAAATATTCATTCAACCTATGTGTATGTCCACAGAAAACTAGCTTGTTTGGGAGTAACACTGAATGAAGTTATTTTAATGTAATTCTTGCATCAGACATTCTTTTGCTAGATAAATTTTGCATTACACATGCCATGTTCATATCCTGTTGTTAAGATATGTGAAAACTGCTTGATTTCTTGAAATCCTGAAACAAACCCATTTAATTTTTTTTTATTAAGCAGGAATTGATCTATTTTAGATGGTGAACTTGTGCAGTTATGGTCTATAATATGAAGGATAACCATACTTTATTTCATTTATTGCATCATCTGAAGTAGACTGGACAGAGAGACCTAACTTTTGGATCTATTTTTTTACCCCACAAAGTGGCCACTCTCAGACTTGAGCCCATGTTCTCATGCTTGTCAGCAGATTCAGAAGGATATTTTATATGTTTCTATAATCTAGGATTTGAGCTAAAAACTTTTTGCAGCATTACTCATTTATTAAAACTATTGAAGATTGAAATCTTACTAAAGACAACATGGGATGATTTCATTAATATAGTTTCATATTTCCCTATCAGCAATTAGCAACTTGGTGATCCACTTTATAGAACTTTCTTTTGATAACCCAAGAATGATGAAGTAAAAATGAGAAAATAAACAGAGAAATGAGGTGGTTGGAAAAATTAGAAAGAAAGAAGACCCAGTTAATAGGAAAATGCAAAAAGATTACAGAGTGCAAATTGAACATTTTCCATTTCTCTGGAAAGTAAAAGTTTACATGGAACCGCTCATCTCATGCTTACTCCTTGTAGGCAACTTGGATGGTGTTTGGAAGACTAGAGTCCATGAACCCAGACTCCACAACACTCTCCCTTTTGCCTCCAAACAAGAGCTTAACGGTCCCTTCCTTCCCGCCCTTTTTAACTGTTTCCAAGCTTGTTTGAAAAATGGCTTTCAGCCATTTTTCAAACAAGCTATTTAGAAAAGAACAAGACCCAACTACCACCTCTTCTAACACCACCCTATCTACACAAAAACTTTCTCCCCTTTCACTCCCATACACCTCTTCAAAAGATCCTTTGATCTTTGCCATGAAACTCTCTGTCATTTGATCCAACAGAGTCGCCTTTTCATTCAAAATAAATCTCTTCTCAATTGATTCAAGGAACCCATGTGAGATTTCTCGAGTCATATCTTTGAGATCAGTGATGGCCTCATTTGGTTTGTTGTCTTCTTCCTCTTCTTCCTCCTCAGCTCGTATATTCAAATCAAGAGTGTTGGAGCTTAACTGCCTTGACAACTCCCTCTTGTTGCTTCCATTGTCATCAGAGACTGAAGAAACGTCTTCCTTCTCACCTTTTCTGGGATTCTTGATCTTATTTGACAAATCCCATTCGGCCTTTCGCTTATGATCAGGGTTGAGAGCTCCTAAGCTGGGAGTTGTTTCTTCAACCTGCAGTTTCATCTGGATTACAATATCCTCTTTCTTGTTCCTGTCCATGTAGCTTTTGGAACAACTAGTAGTCACAATGAATATGGCCTGATCGAAAGAGAGATCTCTGTCAATTGGGTCTTCGCCATTACTAGATTCGAGAATGTTGGCAAGGAATTTTACAAAGTCATCATCAGCATAATCAATATCCTCAATCAAAACAACGCATTTATTGTGGTTTCTTAAGGCTTTTGTGAGAATGTTAGAGAATGAGACGCCCTCATCTTCTTTTCTTCTCATGTTCATGTGGACAAGGTGATCTGCAGACCCACAAAGAAACTCAGCAGTTCCAAGCGCCAATCTTCTCTTTCCAATCCAATCTGTCCCCTGAATTAGTAACCAAGTCCCCTTGTTCCTTTTACATCTGGAACTGAGTAAAGCTTCTGCAATGGAAGGAATGATCTCAGATTGCCAAGGGACATTCTCTTTAAGTAGCTTACACAAATCTCTCGAGTCAATGGTTCCTTCCCTTTTCTGATCCTGATTTGTTATGGAATCAGAAAACAGAGAATTTCCAAGAGCAAGAGTGATCTTAACATCCTTGTTATCTGTGTTCCTAAGGAAATCCAGGTTTGGTTCCGGTGGCTGGTTTTTCTGCATCCCATTAACAGAACCAAATTCAATGGAGCAGGACTGCTGGGTTCCGAATTGAGACAAAAAGTTTGGTTTATGGTTAGGTTTCGATGGAGTTTCGGTGAAGGAAATTGAATTTGGGTCTGCAAAGACACTGTTCTGATTGTACTGTGACCCAGTAGACCACCATGAGTATGATGACGCATAGTTGTAGCTCTTACCCCTTAAGTTGTTAAGGAAGGAAGAACCCAAGTGCGTTTGGTCAGGCCTTGGATGGTGTATGCTCTGGCATAACCTGTTCCATTTTCTTCTCAGCTCAACCAAATCATCCTGAAAAATCAAGATGTGATTTATTGTTAGAATCCTTGAGAAACAAAAGATGCTGAGGTCAAGAAAATTTTTCTGTTCAAAATCTTTCTACCTTGTGATGGGTGTTAGTCCTATGAGGCTGCAACCAATAAGGCAAGTTGGTTGAGCCTTTCTCCATGTCTTTGGTGTTGCAAAGTGAGGAAGGTTTCTGGTACCCTGATTTGAGAAGCCCTGCTTCTCTTTCAAAATTGGAGGTGCACTCAGCACAACAAGTTAGTCTCTCCTGTTCTTCCTTGGCAAAAGGCTTCACCTCCAGCAGTTGTGATGGATTTTGTGTGAGGGTCATTCTTGAATCAAGGGCACTGAGAAGGATGAATACAAATAAGAGTCATAAAGCATGAAAATAAAATCTGACAAAGGTATACATACCAAAAATTGCTCAACCTGTTTCACAAAAACTACAACAACTTGGGTATTCTCCTATTATGAAATAATCTCAGAAAGCTTATCAGTCTCAAGTCTCAACTCTTTCGTAAAAGAGGCAGTTTCCATTTAAAACCATGAACTGTTAATAGAACACTAAATTACTTTCAAAACAGATCAAACTTTATATTTTGTTCTACATAAACTTATGTTTCTGCTTTAATGAAACATAATCAAAGGAAAATAATAAATAGAACCCATCAGAATCAACACTATTTTATCTTCCCATTTATATGAACACCCCTCATTTTCAAATAGTAGAAATCTTTTAATAATCAGAGACTATAACTTAACAAAGCAAAGCGGATAGGGAAATGCAAATGGTTATGTACTTAATATTTACCTCATCAAAATTAATTTTTCTACAGTGGTCCTGGTTTTATACTAAATCATGAAATTCCAGAAATGCAGACACTATAAAACAAAATGAAAAATCAAGAGAAAGCCTAAAACATAGTACAGTTTTTTTTTTCCTGTGATAAATCAAAACTTATAAAGGGATAGTAGAAAAGAGAAAGAGAAGGTAGTTGACTCACCTGGAAGCATGTAGGCTCAAACCAAGTCCTCCTGAAGGAACAGAAACAGCTTGGAGGGTCCATAGAATCTCAAGAGGAGGTTGCTTCATCTGGCACCTCATGTAGGTCTGGTAATTAGCAGTGGCCATTAACCACACTTTACTGTTGGAGCAGCTGTAATCAGAGATCAACCTCCCAATCTCTGCAATTAGATGATCAACTGGGCTATAATTATCGACTTCTCCGACCGAGAATCCACCATCTCTGTCACAGGAATTTGTTTCAACTGTCCATTTCAGGTCCCCTGCGTAGATGATAGCTCCTCCTCCTGATGCAAGAGAGCCCACTTTCCTTCTCAAGTCTGAGACCTTCATTTCCACGTCCTCTCTCTTCATGAACCTTAAGGACACTGAAGAGAACTGGAATTTAATGAAATGGACAGATCTTAATTCATCGGGAACCTCTCCTCTCTCCACCTTCGCCATGAGCTCTGCAACCAGACCTTCTGTCGTCGACACACTGTCCCCAACAACCACTGTATTCCTTCTTTTCTTCCTTAACAAGACCTCCAAAACTACCCTGACATCCTCCTTTTCGGTGGCTGAGTCTCTAACATGGTTTCCTAAGTTTTTCTTGGGTGTGGAAAAGAGAACTGGATTTTGCTCAGAATAGCAATTCAACAAATGGGTCTGCCAGAAAGTGCTGTGGTTGATGATGTCCCTATGAGTTTCAGTAGGAGGTGAATTAGGAGAAGAGAAAACCCCACCGGAGCTACTGTAACACTGGAAAACAGAAGCCGAAGAGTCCTCTAGGTTGTTTTTCACAGAGGTGCTAGAGAACCCAGCTTCTCTCATCACCCGACTAACACTAGGGTCATCTAATATGGATATAATGAGTTGTTCTAGTTCTACTTTGATGGCCAACAGTGGCTGCTGTTGCTGCTGTTCAATGCAACCCCTCCTCTGGTGTGCCTGTGCTCTTTTAAGTGCTGCAATAAGAGCATTGGAAAGAGAAGGTTGGCCATGGAGGAGAGGACCAGGTGTTGTAGGGAGCCTATTGAGAGCCACATTGAAGCAAAGCTCAAGAGCTCTGCATTGGAGAGGATGTGAAGTTGAATGTGGATGAGACTTGAGGCAAGCCCTCCTCAGAAGACTTGCTCTTGGACTCAGCAAGGTTGCAGCCACATGGAGTGGGGTGACCTGAGCATGGCCCCTCCTCCTTGCCAACCCAAGCGAGTGTTTGAGGACCGAAGCAGCCTCCGATGTGAGGGTCTGCTGCACCGTACAAGCTCCTGCACGCATTACTTAGCCACCACACCAACCCCGGCACCCCCCTTGTGAGAACGCTGGTGCACTTCAGGAACAAAGCTTCTTCTTTCTTCTTCTTTTCTTCTTCTCTTTCTCCTTGTGTTCCACACCACCCCACCACCTGTGTTGGACTAATAGCTAGTTGAGGTCTAAGCTTTCTTTCTTCCTTCCTTCTGATACTGCACCTCCAAAACACGTATGAGAAAATTGGTATTCTTCTTCACCCTCCCTTGTTTAGAAGAAACAACCACCACCCACCTGGTTTTAAGAGAGCTTGACTGGTAAAACACCGAAAACGGAAAGAAATGATAGGAGTTGGTAGAAGAGTTTTGCTTTGCACTTTTGCTTGCGGGAAGCTAGATAGGTAGAGCTCTAGAGAAGCCAGCCAGAGCAGACCACCTTCTTCTTTATCCTTGTTGTTATTCTTGTTTTTGGTTGGGAGCTAGTAGCTGCTGCCGATGATGTTGCTGTTGTTGCTTTTTATTTCCACTTCATGGGGTTCCTCTTTCTACACTGCACCATTCCTTTATTAATCAGAGTCACAAGGTACGGCCCTCTAAAGGGTAGTCTCATATATCACGAGAAATTGTTTTGGAGATAATTAGGAATGGAAAAGAGATCACTTTTCAAATTAATAATCACTTTAAATTCTTGGGAAATGAGAAAATTAACCAAAATGGTGAATGTTAATGGCAGTGATGAGATGAGGAAAAGCTGCCAAGAAGATTCAGTCCATGTTCTTTTACTAACAACAACTACATAGTAATACAGAGTGCATAAATACAAAAGTTACCACTAACAAGAATAATAGTATTATTAGCATGATTACTGTCTTTATTTTTTGTTCTGATATTTTCATGCAGATGGGTGTTCATCAAAAAGGGGTCACGGGTGGGACCCACAATTCAAATTTACTCAGAGAACTTCCCTCCCTCCCTTTCCAAATCAGCCTTTGAACGGACAGACAAAGCCAGCAGAAATTCAAAAAAACAAAAGGCAAAGGAGAAAGAAAGAAGCAAAGGACTGAAGATAAAAGGAAAAGTAGCCATTTTTTTTCTCTTTTCCATTCTTATGTCTATTTACTTGTTTTGTTTTATGTAAATATATATGCATGTCATATGGGTTGGTTTGTTCCCTACAAAGAAATATATAAAAATAAAAATAAAATAGCAAATGAAAATGAGAGAGAGATAGAGAGAGAAACTCTTCACGCCAATCCTCGTAGAGAGATATCGTTTTATTCCCCAGGTATCCAAAAAGCAACCCTCTGTCTGCTATCCTATATAGCATTATTGGTTCTTTTCAGTCTCTCTCTCTCTCTTACTTACATGCACTGATACACACATAGGTTGGGCTTCGTCTCACCTAACCCTATTTCCAAGTTCCAACTTCTATTGGGCTTTTTAGAAAAATAAGAATGCTTTGGCTAAAATTAATAATTAATCTGTATTGATTTCAGCTTAATAGATGTAAGTCACAGAATGTTATGTTCTATAGAGAACTGGTTTTTTGATAGACTTAAATTCATGGAACTTTGAGTGTAGTTGGACTGATGACTGGATCCATGCCACTTAATGAGTAATTAACTAGTTTGAATTGACCTAGTGAAACTATGAAAAATCAACTCAAAATCGACTCAAACACTTCATACGACTTTTATCCAATTAAATGGAATATTTAATGACTTAATTTCTTCAATTTTCATGAATAGACTATTTTCTTTTGATAGAATCTTGGAGTATTAAATATGGAAAGGTTTATATTGTAATTGTTCAGAAAATCTAGTAGTGAAAATTAAAATAAGCTTTATTTTCTGCAAATTACTATCATGAAATATTAGATTCCAGACTTCTTTGTATGAAAAAGAAATAAATTATTAACTAAAATAACACCCTTTTTTTTGTCTCAGCAACTAAAATATCAACTTGACTCTAGCTAGTATTACTAAACTCGTAGTTTTTTTTTTCACACAATGATTCAAATCTTGAAATTAAAGAAGTCTTAAGAAGAAATATCATGGATATCTCTCCTATATCGTTCATCTCCATATGCTAAAAAAGAAAATAATTTGAGAAGCCCTAAAAATACCCCAAGACTGGCTAAAACTACCTCAGACTAGCTTGGTGGGTAAGCTCTGGGTGATATGGGTAAGTTGAACCCAGACCCCAAACCTAGAATCGGGTTCTGCCTCCATTTTTCTGTTAATGTTATAGAATAAGCCACCTGGCTATCCTATCCAATGTAAAAAAGGGACATCACAAAACTCTTTCACTATGAAAATGGCATTTTCTGAATATGTTTAAAAGAACATATTCAGGCCCATTCACTTCAAATGTGGTACTCTAAGAGAACAATCTCAATGTATAATTAAGTTATGTTTTTCATTCCTCATATAGAACATTTCTTTATGAATTGTACACCGTTTATTCTTTATCTATGGTGCATGTTTTTCATTGATTTTGTATTTCAAAATCATAAGTATTGTGAAAAAACTTATGACTCAAGCTTGATAGTTAAATGACATTGCTTCTATTCCCCATTTTATAGATGAGGTTATTGTTGAAATTAGTTTTCTTGTATATATGTTTTTTATATTGCTGGATTATACGGTTGCATTAATGGACTCTATTTATGCATTTCTCTTAAGGTGGTCGAAAATCAAATGTGTTAATTAAGATTCTAATAGGTTAAGGGTACTGCTATAATTAAGGATGATATATACTCTTTGGAGAGACTAATGAGTGATTTCCCCCCTCTGAATATTCCCTTTTGTTTACTTAAAAATATGGATTTACACTTGATTTGTTTATTAAATGAAATTGATTAATAAAAAAAAAAAGATTATACACCTAAGATTTCATGAAGTTATGAAGATAGGTAGTAGAGATGGGCAATGAAGCCCTTTTATATTCCAAGGGTGTAAAAGACTTTCAGTTTGTGCAACATCTGAACTAGTGAGTTTCACAAACCATGGTTTTCAAAACTGGACTGGACCGGATGGTCAGACCGGAAAAATGGGGAACGGTCACCTGACCGGTTCCGTTTTCCCTCAAAACCATTGATTTTGGTCAGTAAACCGCTGAACCAGCTGGTTAACCGTTTGAACCATTTTGATCGTTTTCCAATTTTTTTAATTTTTTTTGTCAGAATGGGCTGGCCATTTGGGTCGAACGGTCAGACCATTCGAACCGATAACCGGACCCCTGACTGATTCGTTTTTACAAACCATATCACAAACAATACTTTTTTTGTAATAAAAAGAAAAAATAGTGCCTAAATCTTCCAAAGTTTTAGGTGTACCCCATTGGATATGTGGCAAATTTGGCAAAATACTATCTAAGTTTTGGGGAAGGGTGGGTGAATTTGTAAATTAAAAAAATAATCCAACAAGATGAAGATAAATATAAAGAAATTGCAACTATGCACATTTTAAGATTCAATAGTTCTTCTAGCACTCTTTTAGAGGGATGAAGAGTTCGAGCTTCTTCTTCCTTTGGGGCCTTTAGGGGGCAAAGTTTCTGTTCTCTCTCTCTAGATGCCTATTTATAACCCCAAGGGATCATAAAAATAGGAAAATTAATTAAACCTCCGTTGTGTTTTTGACAAATGCTTAAACCTCCCTTGTATTTTAACCTTCACAAAAGCATCATTTTATGTTTCAAATAAATATGCAAACTAACACCCTTTGTGACCTTCCCTATTAACAGAAATGCCAAACACACATGTAATCAAAAGAGAGAACAATGATGTTCACTATGCACATTTATAACAAGAGCATAGTCATAATTTCAATGTCTCCATTACATAATAATCAACAAAAAGAGTAACTTTTTATTTATTTGAAACATGAAAGAAAGTTTTTACAATAACCAAAGCATTGGCCTTATGTGTTTTGATGATAACAAACTCATTGAAAATATTAATGAATGTGTTAAGTATGTAGATGTATCCATTGAATTAAAAATATTTAACAAAATGCTATGAGGAACAAAACATAGATAAAATGTTTGGGTAGCTATTAGTCATCTTGAATCGATTTACAACTTCTAAAGAAAGAAGTATACTATCAAGAGTTAAAAGGACAAAGAATAAAAGTCCAAGTGGCCTACATTATTGTACAATGTATTATGTTTAGGACTTGATGTAAATAATATGTTTGAGATGCACTTTAGGCTCAAACTTGACCAATCTCGGTTAACCTAACCATAAAGACCAAATGGTTAGTATTAGGTCAGATTCTTAAGTGTTTCTAGACTCAAAAAGTAATCAACCAAAGTTTGGAAACCTAAAGAAAGTTTTTGAACCTTTGGAAAAGAAAACTCTAAGCTTCTAAGGTTATGAATAGTAGATAGTCAACTACTCATTACCTATAGTCGACTACCTATGACTACTGAGGGTAATGTTTGTGGAGACACAATTTAGTAATCAACTACAACAAATGATGATGGACTAACCATGAAGACCGAGGCCTATGTTTGTGAAGACACTACTCAATAGTCAATAACAGCAAATAAGTATTAACTAATCATGACAACCAAGACTAGGTATAATCTTCTAGTTAACTATCAAAAGGGAGTAGTCAACTACTAGAGAAAAAAACTTCCCTCCTACAATTGATAGTCAACTACTAGCAGAAAAATTTGACTATTTTAAGGTGTAATGACTATTTCTTCTTCTTATGGTATGCCTGCTAAACATTTCTTAGAATGGATTAATCCTTCTCGATGGCTCTACAACAGTCAAATGCTCTCTACCACTATAAATAATACCAGTCGTATTAGCTGAAAGAAGAATAAGAACTTCATTGGTGAAAAATATGCTAAGAGATCATTATTCTGAGCAAGAGTCTTTCTAGAAAAAAAAAGAAAGATATGTCTATGCTAAATCAGTTTCTCATGATAAAAATTGAGTACCCATCTTAGCTTATTTGTTTCTCACTGATATTTGTGAATCTCTTCAAGAACTTGAGACTATATTAGTTTGTGCATTTGCTTGCTTCAATATAGTTTGTTTTGTATTTGTTATTATTTGCCTATTGAATGGTAATTGTTTTGTAATTGTGCTTATATTGTTAAATTTTTTGTACTTGAGGTGTTCAAGAGCAAAACACCATTATAGCTTGGCACTTGTAAGCCAATTGTCCAAGTTTGGATAGCACCTAGATGTTTATCTAAGGTCTTACAAATAGGGGTGAGCAAAGGGGTAGGTTTTACCTGGAATCAGCCCCGAATCGGCCTTGAACTGACCCTACCCAATTTGTACAAGGTAGGGTCTGGTTCCAAATTATTGGAACTGACCCCTACCCAGGCCAATTCTAGGGTCTAGGGGTTTACCTACCCGAATAGACCTAATGAATTGGCCTTGTTTGGCCTTGGTGAAACCTGCCTTGGAATTCTTAAAATAAACCCCAAAATACTTTAATTTGGGGATGTGATGATTTAAACCTAAGAACTGATGGTTATAAAGGCCACGCTTTCACTTGAT